AAAACAACCAAAAAAAAATTACAGATGCTGTCTCTTTGACCCAAAATTTAGATCTGGGTTTAAACAATTAGATTTAATAAAATAAAGTCAATCTTAGCCAATATTAATATTCAAAAGATATATTAACCGATTTTGTAGCAAGATAGTACGTATATTATCTAAGTAGCAATAAATGATGATAACACTGGCAATATTCAATGACCCAAAAATGAAGGAGATAACATTAAATAACAATAAATAGCAATGAATGGTATTTAAGTAAATAAGAACATGTGAGTCATTCGAAAAGGGTGAGATTCGTGGGTATTCTTTCTGACAATGATGAATGATTGATGAGCCTTTGAATATTCGGATTATCTTGGATCGTGGGGGAAAAGTTAGACAAGAATCTCAAGAAAAATGTATATTTTGTATGTGTGCAATAAAGCAAGATTCTTCAGAGAATGCCAATGTGTTGTCTTACAAATGAGTATTCAATGTCCCCTATAACTATGTCTTTTTCTATTTATGAGGGAACATGTGCCAAAAAACCCTAATAGTACAGATACAGAAAATATCCACTGGAATATTCTCTTTATAGTCTTGTTCTAAAACTAGCCGTTATTACTTTGTTTAAGACGAGTGCTCGTCCTCGACCTTGATCTACATTGACTCCTCGACCCCGACCTTCATCTCTTGTGAGATCACTTCAATCTCGAACATGCCTTTTATCGAAGTCATTCTATGACACGTGGCAGCCCTTGAAGGCTCTCTTAATGCTGATATGGTATGAACTTAAACTAAGATAATTTTTAGCCCATACACTGTTATTGAACTTCTTATCAGATCTCCACATCCAGATTAACAACTTATGTGGTTGACAATGGCTGCCAATAAAGAGTGTTAAAGATGGTTCGGGAAGAACTACTCATTTTTAAAGGTAAAGATATCAATCTCATTAATGGGTGCCAAGGGGGTAAAACATACAGTAACACAATTGAATGATTATATCCTCCCCAAAACAGTAAGCTTTACAAGTTTAGCTCATCCACTTCCACAAGGTTAACAGATCACAAGAAGAAGGGTGGTTGTCCTTGCTCCAGGGTAGAAAAATTGAGTTATCGGATACTCCCGGGTCTTGGGTTCAACGGCAAAAGTAATACATCGCGGGATGTATGGTAGGTGTACGTCATGAGTATGACTCCTGGCTATTGAACCCAATCTGGTGTTTAAGTGGAGAACAGTACAAGGCGGGTCCATTATCTACAGAGTTTCAAAACTGAACTTGGATTTATCGGTATCAAGATTTTAAAAAAGATTGAGTTATCAGATATTTAGATCTTTCATTGGTACTTTCACTTGAAGCATTCTTCTGTTTCCTCTCCAACAATTTATTCCAATTTAAACATTTTTGAAATTTAGTTCCAAATTTTTCTATTTCTGCCGAGTAACAACCACTCCAGCTAACTGAAAAGTCCTTTGCAATGAGGGGAATCACGGTAATGCCACTAAAGGAGAGGAAAAAATGTCCAACACTCAGCCGACACCTGTGTTTTATATGGAGGGAAATATGATTGACTGTTTTCTTAGCTGGTATTAGAACAATGCATCTACAGATAATGCAGTGTTCCCGTGTTGCTATAGCCTATATATAATGAAAATACCTCACTTTCTCTCTAAAAGGAAAGGAATTATTCAACGTAAAGTTGCTGTCTTTGAATCCTTAGGAGTTCTTCAAACGATCATATTTTGGTTACTTCTGGCTGATATTATGAGAACCAGATAACTAGACCTGCATATGTCAAGAAGCTTAATGTTGTGCCTTGAGATCAGAGTATCACTGAGGTTGTGACAAGAGTCTGGTTCCTTTGATCTCAGCTCCATTTGCCATGAATATTTTTAGCTTGAGTAGAGATAAATGGAAGACTAGAGATCCTCTAGTTCTAGACAACCTTTAGCCTGTCGTAAAAGACTAATTTTTTTAATAATTGGAAGTGGAATGATTACAGAGGATTCATTTCTTTTATCACTGAGAAATTCTCGAAGGATAGTGATGCACGGTTCGAAACTCGGTGGATATTGGGCAATTTCCTTTTAACTTTTTCTACTTAAATACCAGGCTTTTATCTCAACAGGATTCGAACCTGTGACGTGTGCTTAACTCACACATCACAGTTGTGTTCCTACGACTAGACCAAAGCCCTGGAGGCGGTTACAATGATTCATATAACTCTTCTCAACTAATTTAGGATTGAAGCATGGTTGATTGGTTGTTGATTTATTAGTCTTTTTAGTGGGGCTAGGAGATGAAACAGAAGGGTGGTGGCGAGAGTGATTTCGTTGGTCGAGGCCTTTTAAACAATGGAGTTTGGAGAAAGAAAGAAAGAGTGCGATCCAATGAAGGGTGGTGGCTTGGATTAGCAAGAGACAAGATAATAGAGGATCTGAAAATAAGTGTGTGATGTATCAGAGTTATGGTAAGTTGTACTGTGGGGCTTGTGTATATAAAAGGGTCAGACTCTAAGTAGGCGTTTGGACATAAGAATTGTAAAATTCCAAAAACTGGTAAAAAAAAAATTTCAAGTGAAAATGGTATTTGAAATTTAGAGTTGTGTTTGGACATAAATTTCAGTTTGGGTTGTTTTTGAAGTTTTGTGAGTGATTTGAGTGAAAATTTTGAAAAACAGTTTTTTGGAGTTTTTCAAATTTTCGAAAATTTTCAAAATGCATATTCAAGTGAAAATTGGAAATTTTATGAACAAATGCTGATTTCGAAAAAAAAGTGAAATTTTTTTGGAAAAAAAATAAAAAATTATGTCCAAACGGGCTCTAAATTACTTCACATGAAAATACAGATGGAGAGTAACCAAACTAATGGAAATTCAAGAGGCACTCAAGCTGGTCCGCGTAGGCCGTAGGGCTATGTTGCTTGGACTCTCCAACTACTGCCGCTGTGCCTCACCCATGTCGGATCCTCCAAAAATGCACTCAATAGCATTTTTGAAGAGTCCGAGCAACATAGGTGTAGGGCTTCATGGCTTTGATCTTGACAAAGCTATATGTAAGTGAGCCACACTCAATTTTTTCGCAACTTGGCCTGGTTCACTGGCAGCGATACCCTTAAAAGGTTCTCAAGCACTAGGTGGTCTAGAAAAAGGAGGCATGACACAAGCATCAGTTCTGTATGCTGACGTCAAATAACATTTTACTGCCTCAAACAAAAGAGAGTGTTAATAAATATATACTCAATGGTGCTGAGACATAAAATGTTGCTTCGCTAGTTCCTCTTTGCCAGCTACTTGCAAGTACTAGATTATATATATCTATGTGTTACTCCATCCTGATAAACTTCTCCTAATTTTCTTTTGGCATTGCATCGATATGTTGTCCACTTTCCTTATTAAATATCACAAGAAATTTTAGGGGGCTAACGTTTATTCTCATAACAATACACTTTACCCTAGTTTTCTATGATGCAAATATAATTTAAGCCAAACTTTCAACACTTCTCTCATGCCAAGTCAAAGTTGACAAGCAAATTTGGATGGAGAAGTAAATGCATCAGGAATGAGCTCAAATGCCCAAATATCCTTGGTTTATGAATGTAGCAAAAATTTTAATTGAAATGCTATCACATGGTGTACGTAATTTGCCTTGTACCAAGGTCGTGATTGCTTCAGAGGATTCTCTTCTCTTGATTAGCTAGGTTTCATAACTCTTGTTGCAAAAGTCATAGTCAACATTCCTTGGCTTCCATGCATTACATTAAGGTTGTATATGAGGGTAACTGAGGTAAAATTGTGCTCTTAGATGGGATGTGGTAATCCCCTTTCTTTTTTTATAATGGTGGTGCAGTTTCTAATATTTGACTCTGAAGGGTGTAAGCTAAACTATCATTTGCATTTGGCTTTTTCTATGAAGTCATTTACTGGACTTCTTCTGAGTTTGTTTTATGTATTAAATTGGTTTATATGAAATGGAAATGCAGCAAGAGAGACCTAGTCTTCCAGAAGATATTTCTGCTGACATGGCATTTATCATACAATCATGTTGGGTGGAAGACCCTAATATGCGACCAAGCTTCAGCCAGATAATCCGGATGCTTACTGCGTATCTCTTCACACTTCCACCGCCCACACCATCCGTACCACTAACAGATTCTGTGGAGCAGACGGTTGCCAGCAATGGTACCATTGTTGAGTTTTCTGCACGAGCTAGGGGAAAATTTGCTTTCCTTCGCCAACTTTTTGCTGCAAAGAAGGCTAAGAACTAACTCACAGTAAGCTGGCAAAACTTTCAACACTTTACGCGATAGGACATCTTCCCAAGCAGAGGGATGACAAGTGTTGAACAGAAACAATGTTAGTCGATTAACAAAGGAACAAAAACAAGTAGTTAATGTCATTGTAAAGTAAGTTTGTTACCTGTACTTTCTTGTTCATATCCAATCCTCTCATTTATATGGGAATCTCTGTAGTAGTAGGCCGTATAGTAACAGTTTTCTTTTGCATTTATCACTTAACAATGTGTTGCTCTTCAGAATGTTATCCATCTTAAGCTAATTTTTAAAGAATGTCACACTCCTAATTTGAATTAAGATATTGGTAGGCCCTCTGAATGATTGTTATTTACATACTGTATAATTCTCTTCTTTGTGGGATCTTTTTCCCACAAACCACCAGAAGTAGAATGTCATAATTGTTTCAGAGCGATTCTTTATTGTGTTATTATTAGAAGGTGACTAAGGATGAAACATCGTGAGAACATAGTTTTTCTGCATCCGTTTTTGAAACAGTTATGTAGAATTTTAGCACCTGAAACATGTGCAGTTATGGATGGTGTATGACTGTTCAAACTTAATATTTGTCTTGTGAAACTTATCCACTTCAAAGCTACTATATATTTTTGGCTTAAATGTGTAATATAGAGTACAGATTCCACCTGCTAAATCCTAATCATTTTGTTGGTGAACTTTTATCAGAGTTAGTTGCAGTTTGAAACTTTGAACTGTTTTACTTGGTCTAGGGACTTCCAAAACTTTTATCTAGATAGTTCTAATAACAGTTGCTACGTATGTTTCTCTATCTTTTTTCCCTTTTTACTGACTCCATTTTTTTGTAACTCTGACAATATGATTATTATATAGATGGTCTCGAACTAAGCGAAAAAGAATTGCGGTAACTTGATGATTAACGTAAAAAATAGTCAAATAATTACATAGTTAATCTTAACTCATTCAGAATTCACAAATTTAATAATTGTTTTCTTCTTGGTCTATGCGAGAATTTAATATACGAGACTAGATTGCATGATAAACCCCTCTTAAATGGCTTATAAGCTATTCATTTAGTACAACTAATGAATGCCAAGTGGGAGCAAAGGTCCAAGGATTAACACTTAATAAATGTTACTCCCCCGTCTCATTTTAACTTTTGCTTTAGCTCAAAAAATTCGTCCGCAAAATAACGGTCACTTTAAAATTTCAAGACTAAATTTGTTAGCTATTTCCAACTACGCCCTTAATATTAAAGGAGTAATAGTTCTTTTTAATACTGCTCAATTCTCAAAAAAAAAATTAAAAGGGGTAGCTTAGTAAATTATACTTTATATTTATTATTTTTCTTAATGGACATGGTAAGAGCTAAAACAACAATTAAAATGTGATGGAGGGAGTAAACACAAAATCCTAAAACTCCATCTCCCGCTTATTACTTTTGACCTTATCTGGTCAACTCTAATAACTGTTCATAAATACAAAATTAAATACAATTATCCACTTTTTAGAACCGGAAATTCGAATTGGGTTCATTTTGGTCAACTATAATAAGCAGGCGTTTGGACACAAAAATTGTAATTTTTGAAAAACATAATACTTGGAGTTAAGTTGAAAAATAGTATTTGAAATTTGAAAATATGTTTGGACATGCATTTGACTTGAAAAAATATTGTAATTTTGTGAGTGGGTATTTGGAGTTAAATTGCAGTTTTGGTTTTTGAAAAACTCATTTTTGAAATTTATTCAAGAACTTTTAAAATTTCATGGACAAACACAATTTTATAAAAACAATTCGAAAAAAGGAAATTTTTGTATGGACAAACGGGTCTTAAGTACTTAACTACTTTTCAAAGCAAAATCAAGTTCATGTTTCAAACCGGAAAAATTGAACAGCTCCCCCCCCCCCCCCCCCCCCACCATTTTCAATAGTGGAGAAATTTAGTGCTTTAATAGTTTTATATACTGATAAATTAAAAAATATTTAGACACTCATGTCATTTATAAGGTAATTATAGGTAAATCTCTACGATAATATTAATTGTTAACTTGATAAGAACGATTATTAACCCGCTATAATAGATTAACCTACAATAATATTATAAAAAAATATTTACACTTACGATATATAACTTAAATCTAATTACAAAATATTGTTCCAATTAACTTTTCTTGAAAAATAAATCTAAACGAAAAATTGATACAATGGCAATGTAAAATTAGAAATCCTTATACTATTCAAATGGGATGATTATTCTTAATTTTCTTTTTCTTTGATTTCTCTTGTGGTGTCAAATACTTATTTTGGGTTTAATTAATTTGAATTCGCATTGAAAAATATCATATTTTGTACGTACATGTTCCCACGACTATGCCAAAACACAATTATTCTTATAATCCTCTATAGATTATATCATAACTACCATTATTTTTATGTTGACCGTTAATTAATTGCAATTTTCCTTCTTTATCTAGGTTTCAAAAAGACAAAAGTGAAAATTGAATTTAGAGATAAAAGAATAATTAAAGATTGGTAAACCTCATTGATGAGTAAGACAAAGGAAAAAAGACTTTTGCTTTTACTCTTTTTTATCTTTTTTCTTTTACTGTTTTCCTCAAATATTATGATGACACACTCCATGTGAATATCGTAAGTCAAAGTCCACTCACGTGTACACCCTCTTTCTTTTTCTTAACCGTACGATCACATCAACATTTTGTACAAGAAGTAAATCAACGGGTCAGATTTAAAGTAAATATACAACCCATGTAACAAAATAGAGCATTTCCCCAAGTACAAAACAGTAACAAAAAGTCTTAAGAGTCGATGCCTATTTTTTTGGACATAAATGTTAGAATTAGATACTAGAAAAAATAGACAACAAAGACACAAAGTACTACATACAGTAAAAGAAACATAGGGAGTTGTTATATATATATATATATATATATATATA